ATTTACATGCGGTTTAGAATTGATTTTACGGACCCCTTTTTGCCCACTGTTTTGGGTTTCAATTGATTGTTATTTAAACGCTTTTAGGTTGATCCACTCGTTATTCCCCTTTACTAGCTTTGGAAGTGGGACTTGTCTTATCCTTCCTTTTTTTTTATTATTTGTTTTTAAATGGTCAAGTCAAAAAATGAGAATTTCTGATTTAATTACTTGGAAAACACTTAATTGGGGGTAGAACATTATTTTAGACCGCTTTTAGGTTGATCTACTCGTTATTTTCCCCATTGACTTTACTAGTTTTGGAAATGGGACTTGTCTTATCCTTCTTTTTTTTTTTATTATTTGTTTTAAATGGTCAAGTCAAAAAATGAGAATTTCTGATTTAATTACTTGGAAAACACTTAATTGGCGGTAGAACATTATTTTAGGCACAAGCTAAAGATATGCTTCCTAGATTTTAGGAGCACGCCAAAGGTGAGAGTCCATCCACCTAGTCCTCAGAGTAAGTTTCCTAGAGTTTTAGGAGCACGCACCTTAGGTGAGAATCCATCCACCTAGTGCTCAGTGTATACCTCTTAGACTTTAGGTGTACACCCTAGGTGAAAGCCCATTCACCTAATCCTCAGTGTAGGTTTTCTAGAGCTTAAGTGTACACCCTAGGTGAAAGTCTATCCACCTAGCCCTCAATGTATGCTTCCTAGATTTTAGGAGCACGCCATAGGTGAGAGTCCATCCACCTAGTCCTCAGAGTAGGTTTCCTAGAGTTTTAGGAGCACACACCTTAGGTGAGAATCCATCCACCTAGTGCTCAGTGTATACCTCTTAGACTTTAGGTGTACACCCTAGGTGAAAGCCCATTCACCTAATCCTCAGTGTAGGTTTTCTAGAGCTTAAGTGTACACCCTATAGTCTTTAGGAGCACACCTTAGATGAGAGCCCATCTACCCAATCTCTGCAGTGTAACCTCCCAAGGTTTCAGGAACATACCTTAGGTAAGAGTCTATTCACCTAATTCTCGAATGCACAATGAAACTTGACACTTGACCCTGATTCACAAACTGATCAAGACACTAGACACCAGGATGCACCGAAATGTAGTTCATCTTTCATTAATTAAATCAACAGTGAAATTCTCGCAATGACTTAACCAACAATGAAACCCAGTGCATCGGGATTTGAGCTTGAATATTACACTCAAATCCTCCTGGCAATTGGAGAAATTTCTTAATGCCACATATGGATCATCGGACTAGGATAAGTCTAGGGTCTAGGTGGCGAGGGCGATGACGACATTGCTTATGTGTGCTTAAACGAGGGATACGA